GAAAGGCTGCGGAGGGCAGATGGAAACGGGCCGAGCAGTGGCAGCGGGTGACAGCACGCAGAGGGGGGACCAAGCGGAGAACGAGGCCGAGAGCGGTTCCTTACCGAGGGGAAGGGGTTGGCGGTGCCGAGGGGGGGACGGGGGACAGGACTCGGTGGCAGCTTCGAGGCCTCCGGGCCCCGCGGACATCACTGCTGGGGGGAACGGGGTCCCCGCCATCGTCGCCTTCGCCGCTTCGAACGCGTTTCCTGAAACACGGCGCTTAACGATAGCGTGGGGTTTTTTAAAATTCATTTTAAAAAGCATCAAGAGCTGTAACGTTGAGGTAAACTAGATCTGTAATCAGGGAGAAACCGAAGAAAGACCGCGTGTATATCCCGATGCTGTTTTTATGTCACTTGGGGTTGTGACAGCAGCCACGCGTAAAGGATCAGCTCAGAAGTTCACCATAGTCACTGCTTGGGGTCTCGTGATCTGCTAGATTGCTTCCTTAGACCTAGCATAAACTGTAATTCAGCTAGAAAATATATACTCAAGAAAAGCTAATGTCAACAGTTAATACAATTCAGTACAATTTTTAATTTTTTTTTTTCCTGGTCAAAAATGTGTAAGTGCCCCGTGAAGAGCTGTAACTGCCTGCACAATTTGAATGCCGAGCTCTCCGTGAGCGTTACTTAAAATGCAGAGGGATATCTCACGTTCGCAAGCACGGCGTCACCTCCTTGCATCACCAGGGACAGGGCAAGGACTGCAGCCACCATCCCCGGGGACACTCAAGGTGAGGCTGCAGACAAAGGACTCTGCGAGAGGTAGCGGCATTGCTCCGCAGCAGGCAGCGTACCGGGTGTCCTCCCCAGCGCTCCACGCTCCTCACTTGCAAAACTTCAGGGACACGAGCAGGAGATTTGTTCAAGTCTAAGGCTAGAGCAATAATATTTTTGCATTTACACTGGCTTTCATCCAGAACTCCAAGAAAAATGCTAAATACTTCTCATCTGGCTTTACAGATGAAGAAACTAAGACAAAGATTAAATGACTTACCCCAAATCCCCAGCAAGTTAGTGGCCAGGAGAGGAATACATCTCAAAGTCCCCCCACACATCATCCACTCTAATTGAGAGAAAGCCATCCTCTAGTTCTCCCGCTCATGCTCTTTGTGCATGCATTAGAAATACACAGTGCAGAGAATTTTGCTTCCAGGTACAACTCGTAGCTGGTGATACTGATCTATAAATCCCCGTTCTTTATAGCTCAAGTCCTAGCAAGGTATCTCCTTCCCCAGGGACCACCATGCTGGGAGCGAGCAGGTGAATCACTGTTTCTTAATTTGCATAGCTGGAGGCAGGGTAATCTCAGCAGAGGCATTTCCACATTTTCTTTCTCTGCAGGACTCAGCCTTGCCAGCCTCGGCAGCAGGGCTCACAGCAGGGCAGTCGGTGTGGCAGCAGCATCTGCCTTTAAGGATGCTTAACAATGGTGGTTGAGCAACTTGTTTCCTCTGAATACAAACATTATAATGAAATCTGTGAACTTAGGAAGTTACTCGCTCAATGGTAAAAACACGAGGCTGTATCTGGAGAACATGCAGAGACAAAATACCAGTAATTACAGCTTTTAAAACAGCACTTAAGTCAGTAAAACCAATTCATTCCTGCAGATAGAAGCTGCACAAGGAGGCTCTTCATATGTCCTTTAAGAGGCTCCACATATACATGGAGGTAGTGAACATTTTGCAAGGCTTTACCCAAGGTTTCCTTTAAAATTAAAGGTTTAATAAACCCCGGCCCAGATATCAATGCATCTGCAGCTTTTCCCGCTCAGCACTACCTACTGAGGAATTTTATTGTATCCAGTGAATCAAACACTTATTTCATGGGTTGTGGACCATCTTCTAAGTTTCAAAACAATAAGGGTCCAGGCACACTCAGGGCCTGACTCAGCAAGACAAAGCACCTATTTAATGTCTGTTCTGGGAAGGTTGACTTTTTTTTTTTTCAGTTTTCTGCAGATTTGAATGGAAGCTGATAACATTTATTGCTGAGTCAGATTTTGCAAGTACATGAAATTAGATCTGGATGAATGTGAACCTGGTTATGAAATGATTAGAAGAGAAAGGGGTCCAAGTTCAGCTGCAGTCAGAGGGACTTTTCCTACTGACTTCAGCAGGGAATAAGTCTGGACCTTCATTTCTTCCAGCCCCACACGCTGCCCTTCTCCTTCTGCAGGAGGGATGCAGCCCCTGGACAGACTGCCAGCACTGGAACCCGTTTCACTGCTGTGCTGCTGCACCTTATCTCTTGTGCAACGAGGGATTGCTCATCAGCACATTCAATCTGTCAACAGGGTGTTAAAGCCTGTGTCCACACCTTGTCTCTCCCTTGGTGCATTTTCCAATTTATAACAAATCCTATTATTTCAGGGACATCTACAGTGTTACTGGCATTGTCACTTATACCTGCTTGAAGTGGGTAAAGCCTGCTGACATCCCCAAACAGGGGATTTCTGCTCCACACCACCTCAACAACAACACAAGGTTATAAGGCAAAGAGAATTGAGTCTCTACATTCTGTCACATACAGGATACAACCCGTTAGGTCCTGGACACAGCCTAAGATATCCCCATGGCCCTTAACATTGCAGTTCAATAAAAAAATAAAAATATTGTAATTTATCACAACCCTTCTATTTATATAAAATACAAGTTGCCACAAGAAGGTCTTCTCTGAAATCTCCAAATCTAAATCCATTGATATCATTAAATTATACCAACATTTCACCCCCCTTTTCCTGGTATGTGGCAGCAGTGAAAGACTGAAGGGAAAACGCTGTGATCCCCAGCACCTGCAGTGGTATTGCAATTCTTTGCCTGGTTTTGCAGCTGAGTTGCAGGGGTTGCACCAAGACTTATGCAGACAAATGAAAATGAACCATAATCCCTCAGGACTTTTTTATTCCAAAATAACAATTGCCCAGTTGGATAAATTATCACAAGTTCAGCTGATGTAAATATCTAGCTAATGCCTATTTGCTGATTTAATGAAATCCAGAAACAATTTGCAATCACATAATGAGCTTGGATTCCTGGCTGATAGAATCACAGGACTAGAAAGCAGAAGTCAGCTCAGTAACACACATCAACAGCACATTTAAATGAAAGTGTATTTGACACTGTACAGGCTAATAACACATTATTATTGCTCTAGTTGTTAAAAGTAAAGGTGCTGACTGCATGATGATTGTGTCCTGATTGTCTGGACTTGAACTGCACAAAAAAGGAGCTGGTCCTCTCTAACTTTACAATAATTTTTTTTTTTTTTAAATATAGTCATGGAAGAATGAGAAGAAAATACTCATTACAAAGAGCTCAACATGAGCTTTTGAAGTGCAAACACAATATTTTCTTTACAGATGAGATTGCAGCATATCATTAGGAATAATGACTTAATTATGTTATTAACAGTGCATACCCACATCACTGACACTGTCCTGAGAGCGACTCCTTTGGCTGGTAACGTGGATGCAGGGGTCACTGAGCGTGCACTTCATCTCCCATCGCCAGCCGTGCAGTGCCCTGATGCAGTGCTCCGGAGGGTGCAGTGTCCTTGCCAGGGATCAGACCGAAAAGGATCATTGAACACACGCCAGCATCTGACACGTTCTGTGGAGGCAGGGGAGCTCCAAAGCCGTGAGCCCGTTACCCAGGCAGACAGACAGGACCAGACAGACTCCTCTGCTGAAAACACCGTCCCTCCTCAGACTGCACAGACCTATTTTTTCCATGCCCACTGCCTGGCTGGGTGAAGCTACCAGATAATTAGGCAGATGAGCTGGGAGGTGCGGAAGCTGGGGAGGGATGCCTGCTCCCAAGGCAACGCTCCACAAAAGGTCTAGCAGATTTCCAGAGGGAAACCCTGTGCTGGCTTTTCCATGAGCTACAACCCTGGGTACTGCTGCCCTTCTCCTCTCCCAACTCAGCCACTGTCATTAAAGTTGCCTG